ATTGTTAGCCGGGGTGGGGCGGGGCTACTGTTATGGGGCAGGGGGGGGATTGTTAGCCGGGGTGGGGCGGGGCTACTGTTATGGGGCAGGGGAATTGCCTGAATCGCCTCTGCCCCATCAAGGCCGAGGGTCCTAGGGCCCAGCAGAGGCAGCACCTGAGGCCCTGGTGGAGATTCTGCTATCACCTCAAAGAGAAAGTTGGCATAACTTCCTTGCTTCTGAAGGGTCACCCGTGCATCTAAGTCACAGGGGGACCTAGGGCAGCTGACTCAGGCTCCAGGGCTTTAAACTAGATTTATGGGGAAGAAACCAAAGCCCTGAGGGAAGTGGGGAAGTAGGATACAGGGAGGAAGCAGGAGAGCGCAAGAGGGGAGGACTCCTGCCTCACATTGAGAAAGCAGGGCGATCAGCGAGTTATCTTAAGTGCCTATACACAAATGCAAGAAGCCTGGGAAACAAGCAGGGAGAACTGGAAGTTCTGACACAGTCAAGAAATTATGATGTGATTGGAATAACAGACTTGGTGGGATAACTCACATGATTGGATATAAACGGTTCAGGAAGGGCAGGCAGGGCAGAAAAGGTTGGGGAGTTGTATTGTATGTAAGAGAGCAGTATCACTGCTTAGAGCTCCAGTAGGAAACTGCAGAAAAACCTGGGAGTCTCTGGATTAAGTTTAGAAGTGTGAGCAACAAGGGTGATGTCGTGGTGGGAATCTACTATAGACCACCAGACCAGGGGGATGAGGTGGACGAGGCTTTTTGCAGGCAACTAACAGAAGTTACTAGATCACAGGTCCTGGTTCTCAGGGGGGACTTCAATCACCCCGATATCTGCTGGGAGAGCAATACAGCCGTGCACAGACAATCCAGGAAGTTTTTGGAAAGTGTAGGGGACAATTTCCTGGTGCAAGTGCTGGAGGAAACAACTAGGGGCAAAGCTCTTCCTGACCTGCTGCTCACAAACAGGGAAGAATTAGTAGGGGAAACAAGAGTGGATGGGAACCTGGGAGGCAGTGACCATGAGATGGTCGAGTTCAGGATCCTGACACGCGGAAGAAAGGAGAGCAGCAGAATACGGACCCTGGACTTCAGAAAAGCAGACTTTGACTCCCTTAGGGAACTGATGGGCAGGATCCCCTGGGAGAATAACATGAGGGGGAAAGGAGACCAGGAGAGCTGGCTGTATTTTAAAGAATCCTTATTGAGGTTGCAGGAAAAAACCATCCCGATGTGTAGAAAGAATAGTAAATATGGCAGGCGACCAGCTTGGGTTAACAGTGAAATCCTTGCTGATCTTAAACACAAAAAAGAAGATTAGTGGAAGATTGGATAAATGACCAGGAGGAGTATAAAAATATTGTTCAGGCATGCAGGAGTGAAATCAGGAAGGCCAAATCGCACTTGGAGTTGCAGCTAGCAAGGGATGTTAAGAGTAACAAGAAGGGTTTCTTCAGGTATGTTAGCAACAAGAAGATGGTCAGGGAAAGTGTGGGCCCCTTACTGAATGAGGGAGGCAACCTAGTGACAGAGTATGTGGAAAAAGCTAATGTACTCAATGCTTTTTTTGCCTCTGTCTTCATGAACAAGGTCAGCTCCCAGACTACTGCATTGGGCAGCACAGTATGGGGAGGAGGTGACCAGCCCTCTGTGGAGAAAGAAGTGGTTCAGGACTATTTAGAAAAGCTGGACGAGCACAAGTCCATGGAGCCGGATGCGCTGCAGCCGAGGGTGCTAAAGGAGTTGGCGGATGTGATTGCAGAGCCATTGGCCGTTATCTTTGAAAACTCATGGTGATCGGGCAAGCTTCTGGATGACTGGAAAAAGGCTAACGTAGTGCCCGTCTTTAAAAAAGAGAAGGAGGAGGATCCGGGGAACTACAGGCCAGTCAGCCTCACCTCAGTCCCTGGAAAATCATGGAGCAGGTCCTCAAGGAATCCATTTTGAAGCACTTAGAGGAGAGGAAAGTGATCAGGAACAGTCAGCATGGATTCACTAAGGGCAAGTCATGCCTGACTAACCTAATTGCCTTCTATGACGAGATAACTGGCTCTGTGGATGAGGGGAAAGCAGTGGATGTGTTATTCCTTGACTTTAGCAAAGCTTTTGATACGGTCTCCCACAGTATTTTTGCTAGCAAGTTAAAGAAGTATGGGCTGGATGAATGGATTATAAGGTGGATAGAAAGCTGGCTAGATCATCGGCCTTAACAGGTAGTGATCAAAAGCTCCAAGCGGAGTGCCCCAAGGGTCGGTCCTGGGGCCGATTTTGTTCAATATCTTCATTAATGATCTGGAGGATGGCGTGGATTGCACCCTCAGCAAGTTTGCAGATGACACTAAACTGGGAGGAGTGGTAGATATGCTGGAGGGTAGGGATCGGATACAGATGGACCTAGACAAATTAGAGGATTGGGCCAAAAGAAATCTGATGAGGTTCAACAAGGACAAGTGCAGAGTCCTGCACTTAGGACGGAAGAATCCCATGCACTGCTACAGACTAGGGACCAAGTGGCTAGGCAGCCGTTCTGCAGAAAAGGACCTAGGGGTTACGGTGGACGAGAAGCTGGATATGAGTCAACTGTGTGCCCTTGTTGCCAAGAAGGCTAACGGCATTTTGGGCTGTATAAGTAGGGGCATTGCCAGCAGATCCAGGGACGTGATCATTCCCCTCTATTCAGCATTGGTGAGGCCTCATCTGGAGTACTGTGTCCAGTTTTGGGCCCCACACTACAAGAAGGATGTGGACAAATTGGAGAGAGTCCAGCGGAGGGCAACAAAAATGATTAGGGGGCTGGAGCACATGATTTATGAGGAGAGGCTGAAGGAACTGGGATTATTTAGTCTGCAGAAGAGAAGAATGAGGGGGGATTTGATAAACTGCTTTCAACTACCTGCAAGAGTTTCCAAAGAGGATGGATCTAGACTGTTCTCAGTGGTACCAGATGACAGAACAAGGAGCAATGGTCTCAAGTTGCAATGGGGGAGGTTTAGGTTGGATATTAGGGGGGAAAAAATCACTAGGAGGGTGGTGAGGCACTGGAGTGGGTTACTTAGGGAGGTGGTGGAATCTCCTTCCTTGGAGGTTTTTAAGGTCAGGCTTGACAGAGCCCTGGCTGGGATGATTTAGTTGGGGATTAGGTCTTGCTTTGAGCAGGGGATGGGAATAGATGACCGCCTGAGGTCCCTTCCAACTCTGAGATTCTAAAACTCTATTGTGGACACTCAGGTGCAGGGTAGAGCCTGCGCTCTGGCACTCTCCCCACCCCCTGGGAACTGACAGCCCAAGCTTCAGTCCAAGCCCAAATGTCTACACTGCAATGTTATAGCCCTGCAGGACGAGCCAAGTGAGCCTAAGTCTGCTGACCTGGGCCAGCCACAGGTCTTTTATTGCAGTGTAGACATACCTATAGGATTTGGCTGAACTAAAGAGAGCGGTCTCAGGGTTAGCCACCATGTTTTCTACCTTGACCTAACCATGAGACAGTCTCTGCTGCAGCCCCATCTTAACACCTTTTGTCTTGATTTCGCTGGTCAAGGGATTAGCTAAATCAAGGTAAAAAGTGTTAATTTGCAGCTTCACTAAGAAAAAGGAAAGGCAACCTAACAGGTGTGTTAGCCCCAACCTATCTTTGTCCTCTCTTCCTAATCTAGGCAAACCAAGCCACTGCTCTGAAACAAAAGCCTTTTGCCTGTGGTTGGGCATATTCCACTGCCTCTTCCAAACAGCACCTCCACAGCCCCTAACTCTGCTCTCTTCAGTTGCCAGCAGATGGAAAGCAAGCGGGGTGTGGAAACACTGAGTGGTAAGTTATTGTGCGAGCCTGGCTGCGTGGCTGGAGAATGAGGGGCAGATAAAGTTCAGAGCTATTTACAGTCACCTCTGCAGCTCCCTCTCCTCTCTGTCATTTGAGAACATTACTGTGGTAACTCCAGCAGGGGCCACAGTAGGAAAGCTGTGAATTTGCTGCTGGGGGGAAGTAGGACAGGCAGATTGATGATCCCTGGGGAACAGGAGCAGGTGTGCTGTGGACCAAGAGAGATGCACCAAGGGGGCACAGGGTGAATCCTGTTGGAGAGCTCCGGAAGCCGCTTCAAGGACAAGCACTGTCGCAGCTCCTGTCTTCCTGTGGCAGGTTTGAGCCCCGGGGCTCTCCGCTGCCTGCTCTGTTTGGGGGCCAGGAAGGCACCAGGAGACTCCTTCTGCACTAGGAATGGAAGAAAACAGGGCTATTTTCTCAAAGAAAAGCAAAGGGAGCAGGATGAGTGGCACTTAAACCATCTTTTCCTCTTGCTGTAATGGGCTGCCCCCTCCCAGTTCAACAGAAGCAGTGGATCCTCTGCCTTTAACAGCTTCCACCACTTCTAGATCCTTTCCAGTCACAAGCATAAACATTTATCACCCCCTCACACTAAAGCTTGGGTGCCTGGCCCTCGCTAATACAAAAGCTACTTTCAGACCCAAACAGGCCCCGTCTTCCTTGAACTGGGCTAGCAGGGAATGTAGTGGTCTCAGGTACATGCATTACTCCAATCTCTTTCCAACTGGGCAACTGCTATAGAGAACAGGGGAGGCAACAATGGAGCGAGTCTTCA